TAACAGCAAATGATATATCAGGTCGTGTATGACAAGCAAGATACATTAATGCTTCAATTGCACTAAGATAAGGTACTTCAGGACCTAGTAGTTCTTCATCCTGCTCCCGAGGTTTGAAAGGATCTTTGTTTACATCTAGTGACCTTACAACCATTGGAGTACACAAAGGATGTGATTTATCCATATAAAATCGTTTTAACACTTTTGAAGTATAAGTTTCTTGATGCATAAAAATTCCATTCTTTACATATTCAAGTTGTAATCCAAGACAAAACTTTGTCCTTCCAAGATTCTTCATTTCAAATTCTTTCTTTCTTTAGGCAATTTACTATTTTTGAAATCTCTTCAAGAGTTCCAATGATATTTAAATCATCAACATAAACAACAATTATTACAAATTCATTATAAAATCTTTTTATAAAAATTCATGGACAAATACAGTCACTTTTATATCCTTCCTTCAGCAAATATTCGCTAAGGCGATTATACCACATGCGTTCAGATTGTTTCAATCCATAAAATGATTTATTCAACTTGATTGAATAACCTTCTCTAGAATTTTAATTGTATGCATCTGATAAATTAAAACCGTCAAGGAGTTTCATATAAATGTCATTATCAAGTAAGCCATACAAATAGGCTGTAACAACATCCATTAATCGCAAATTGAGTTCTTCATTTGTTGCTAGACTGACCAAGTATCGAAAAGTATTTGCATCCACTACAGGTGAATATGTTTGTTCAAAATCAATACCAGGTCTTTGCAAAAGACCTTGGGCAACAAGTCGTGCTTTATATCTCACAATTTCACCCTTTTCATTTCATTTTTGCATAAAAACTCATTTATATCCAATTGACTTTACATCTTCAAGTGTACGAACTATAGGTCCAAAAATTTGACTCTTTGTAAGCGACTTTAATTCTTCCTCAATTGCAGCTTTCCATTTTTTCCAGTCACTTCTTTGTCTACACTCGTTGACTGATTTTAATTCATGACCCTCTATATCAGCTATCTCATCCAATGCTGCATTAAATGAAAAAAAAAATCATCAATATTAACTTCATTTTGGTTCCATTGTATTCTATTCATGACATAATTTATTAAGATCTCTTTATTTTCATCATTTTCAAGTACTTGTGTTTCTTCAGGAATTAAAATATTAATTATGTCCGATGACTCTTCTGGAATCTTTACATCCTCATTTTGGTCACCTTGATTTTTAGTTCCTTTTCTTTTTCGAGGATTTTTATCTTTGGAACCAAAAGGTCTACCACACTTCATACGTGATTCAGATTGATTTGCAACATTAGATTGTCCAATCAAAACATTGATTTTGATTGGAGCATTAGCAGCCGTGACATATGATTTACTCACTATTTTGGAATTCGTAAACACATTTGGTAGTTGGTTGGCTAAACCTTTTAAATGAATTATCTTTTGAACTTTCAGTTCACACTATTTTGTTTGAGGATCAAGATGAGATAAAGATAATTCATTCCAACTTATCTCCTTTTCCAAATGTTTATTTTCTTCTCCTAAAGTAGGAAAAAATAATTCATTAAAATGACAATCAGCAAATCGAGCAGTGAATAAATCTCCTGTCATTGGCTCAAGGTACTTTATTATAGATAAAGATTCATAGCCAACATATATTTCTAACCTTCTTTAAAGATCCATCTTAGTGCGTTGTGGTGGAGCAATAGGAACATACACTGCACATCCATAAATTCTAAGATGAGAAATATTTGGTTGTTGACCAAAAACTAATTGCAAAGGAGATAACATATGATGGTTTGTTGGTCTAATGCGAATAAGTGTTGCAGCATGCAAGATTGCATGTCCCCAAGTAGAAATTGGAAGTTTTGATCACATTAGTAATAGTCTTGCAATTAATTTAAGGCGCCTGATCAATGATTCAGCAAGTCTATTTTGAGTATGTACGTGTGCTACAGGATGCTCAATATCAATTCTAATAGATATACAATAATCATTAAAAGCTCGAGATGTAAATTCACCAGCATTATCAAGGCGTATTTTTTTAATTAGATAATCAAGAAAATGAGCTCTTAAACGAATTATTTGTGCAAGTAACCTCGCAAATATCTGGTCGTGAGTTGACAATAAACAAACATGTGACCATCTCGTTGATGCATCAATCAAAACCATAAAATATCTAAATGGTCCATATGATGGGTGTATTGATCCACAAATATCACCTTGTATACGTTCTAAAAATATGATAGATTCATTTCCAATTTTAGCTGGTGATGGTCGACTAATTAGTTTTCCTTGAGAACAAGCAACACATGAGAAATTATTTGATTGAAGAATCTGCTGACTTTTCAATGAATGTCTACATGAATTTTCAATTATTTTTCGCATTATGATTGATCCAGGATGGTCTAATCGTTCATGCCAAATAAAAAAATTATCATGATTTGTAAACTTCTGGTTTATAATAATGTGTGTTTCAATTATATTAATATGTGTGTAATATAAGCCAGAAGAAAAATAAGGTAATTTTTCTAACACATTTTTTATTTGAGATAATTTTTGTGATATACATGTATTCTTTTCTTCCTTCATTTATTGTTTCAACATGATATCCATTTTTGTGGATATCTTTGAAACTTAATAAGTTTCTATGACACTTAGTGGAATATAATGCACTAACAATGTGTAATTTTGTTCCACCAGGCAACAATATATTAGCTCTACTGGAGCCTTTAATAATTTTTGTACTACTAGATATAGTACTTACATTAGCTTGTTGCATCACTAAATGAGAAAAATATTTTTTATTTTTAAGAATTGTGTGAGTTATTGCACTATCAATAAGACATAAGAACATAAGAACATTCATTTTTCATTGCAAAAATAAATAATAAAAAAATAAATTAGATGCTAAAAGAAATGGTGAAAATTTATTATTTTATTATTATTTATTTACAATGGCTATATTAAAATTTAATTTAAATAACAACTATATCAATGCAAAAATAACTATAATACATGACAATTTATTTAATCATTACTATTTTATTTTATTTTACTTTGAGAAGAAGAGAATACATTAAACATAAATTAACATATAGAAAAAAAAACATAATAATTCAATAATAATAAAAATAATAATAAACTTATTTTAAACACTACCATATGATTATAAATAAAATTATTAACAAAAATAATAATAGATCACTAATGAGATGGTCATTTTTTTTTATCTTGATCAGCAAAATGATTAGCAACATCTAAGTGGGTAACGTCCATATGATCATAAAATTATTATCATTTTCACAAATAAAATTTATCTCTATCTTTTTCCTTTATTTTTAAGTGATTCTTGAAAAAGCTCAATAAAATGCTTTGGTGTACGATAAACACATGATTAGTGACCTTTGCTTCCACAACGCATATTTTTTCGTATTTTCACCACTTTGGGTACCTTTATCCTTTTCAATTTTCTCACTATTTTTTCACTTTTGGTGTGAAAAATGTATATTTCTGATTATCGCAACGACCATTTCCATAACCATTACTACGATAGTAAGTTTGTGCATAGTTACAATAGTCACAATTTGTTACATTCACTTCTGGGAATGGAACAATGTCAATTAGACGAGGTTTATGATTTTTATCAAAACCTTATTATTTTATTCAGCCACAAGGAAACAAGAATAAATTTAAAATATTTTTGAATCATTTTTCACGATATTGCTGCTGTAGGAGCAAGTGAGTGAAAAGTTGAGAATGTTTTTTCTTCTAACATATACTCATCAAAAATCTTTTCTCCACACAATTTTAATTGAGATTACAATAAATAAATAATGATATATTTCTATAAGAAAAATAAAAATGAAATAATATTATACCTTTATTCAACAATGTTCCTTTCTTGAAAAGTATGTACTAGAGTTTCGTGCTGATAACGTGTTATAAAATGAACATAAAATTATAAGGAAGAATAGAGAGAAGAATATAGAGAGGGAGAGAGAATCTCAATTTCATTTTCTGTATCTTCAATATAAATGAAACACTTATTTATAGGCCTAAAACTATAACTGAAGAATCGTATCTCTTTAATAAGAATTAAACAAAATAGTTACAAAATCGTAATTACAAAGAATAATGAGGAGTTATGAATATGGACATTCATTCATATAATAATTCATAAGATTTTAAAATATATAAAAATAAAAACCATTTGATTACATTTTTATAACTGTTTAACTTTAACAAAAATATATATAAATAATAAAAATAATATATAATTATAATTTAATGATTAGATTAATAAATATATAAAATTATATCTGCCATTGGTTTATATGCTTTATATAAACCATAGCCCTTTTTCCTAGGATTTTTTTTTTTTAATTTGTCTCCTAAATGATATTGTTTTCTCCTTTCAAGCAGATGGGACGTTGTCTTCGTTGAGGGTGGACTATAGGACTTCTATAGAGTTCAAGTGTATTTTATTGGTAAAAAATGTTGAAAAAGGTATGTTTTATTTTCTTCTTTCATATTAATAATTTAATTTAATTTTTTTAAAAAAATTTATAGTGTAGATATAATATGAAAAATTAGATATTTTATTTTAAGTTAAACATTATTGTAATGTAATTGTTAAAATAAAAAAATTATTGAATATCAAAAAATAAATATTATTAAAATAGTTAAATATAAATATTATAGTAGATAATGTTTTTAGTATGTTATTAATGGTATTTAAATTTTAGTATATATAGTTTGTTAGATAATTTGTTTATTTTTAGAGTTATAATAGAAATTAATATCATATTATATTTAGAATAATGTAATATTATGTAAAAAATTTATTTAAACATGTTTATCATTTATGTTTGAGCGTGTAAACTTAGTGGAGAGGTAGACTCATGATACACATACATTTTACTTACTTTTTTAATTAGACATATTCATCACACTTACCACTTCAATTAGACATAACAGGAGCATTTTCTTCTTGTGAGGTGCGTTAAAGGGCGAGGGAGCCCAACTCTTCAATTAAAGCATTCAAATTTGAGTAAGAGGATCCTCCTTGTTCCACAGCTTGTTTTGCCATTAGTGCAAACAATTTTGCTTTGTTTCTCATCCTCTGCTTCTTCCTCTACCATTACCATTTTCACAGCCTTCTTTATTGCATCCCATGTAATGCCTTCCCCCACAAAGTGACTCCACCTTTTAACTCCAACAGGTACCCCAATTTTAAGTACCTCAGTCACCAATTTCTCATTGTAAAATTGCTCAGCACCCACTGGCCAAGTAACCATAGGCACCCCAGCAGCCACACCTTCCAATGTTGAATTCCATCCACAATGAGTCACAAATGCCCCTATTGCTTCATGTTCAAGAATTAACACTTGAGGTGCTCAACCTCTTATGATTAGTCCCTTACCTTCCATTCTTTTCTCAAATCCTTCAGGTAACCATTCTTCTCCATCTTCTTTTCTTTTCCCCACAACCCAAATGAATTGTTGTCTTGACTCCTCAAGTCCAATAGCAATCTCTTGAAGCTGAGAATCAGGAAAGGTTGTCATACTTCCAAAGCACACGTAAACAACTGAATTATCTCTTTTCGTGTTCAACCACTTTAAGCACTCATACTCATCAATAGATGCTTCTTTTCCTCTATATGCCTTCTCCTCTAAATTCCTATTGCAAAGAGACAAAGAACCAATATGCCATTCTCTTCTTTTTAGTACGTTCCTATAATAATCTGCATACACATGCTCGAGCTCGTAGAAGCTATTAACAACCACCCCATAACTTTTCTCCACTGACTCCTTCACTTCTTTCCAAAATTTGACGAAGTGCAAGTCATCTTTCCTGAAGAAATCTCCCACTTGCGACCTTGTCATTTTAATTTCACCAGGGAAATTAGGAATAACGAATAACTCTGAGTCTGAAGAAGTATTATTATAAGGCTCATAGAGTCTCATTACTTCGGTGGCACACAAGGAGAAGAAATTAGTCCCATGAAACATAATCGTAGGAATTTCATACTTGGCGGCAGAATCACTTGTCCATGGGAAAAACATATCAGAAACAACACCATTTGGCTGTTCATAATGCAATAGTTGCTCAAAGGGCACTTGTAGGAACCGAGTAGCCTTAATGAAGGTAGAAAATAAATCTGGAGGGATTGAGTCAGCATGTTCGCATCCTTCAGGTAAACCAAGCTCAGTGCTTGGGAACTTGATGGCATAGATTTCGATCTCTTGGCTTTGATTATATTGCATTTTTTCTATAGCTTTGGAAATGAAAGGTGCATTGAGGGTTGTGGTGATTATGGTGGCCTTAACACCCTCTGCTGCAAATAGTTTGGCCATGTCAATCATAGGTATCATATGGCCATGATCCATGAAGGGGAAGAAAAATATGTGTAAGGGACTGTATTTACTACCCATCTTTGCCACATGGATTTTGTAGGTAAGAAAATTCAGAATTTGCAAAGAAACAAAAGGATTTAGTATGGTTGTTTGCTTATCTGAGGATGGAGTATTTTATAAGAGGTGGTCATTTAGACTACGCTCCTTTCATGCCTTTGCACTTATTATGGTTTTTGTTTTTTTAATTATAATACATAATGAGAAATGATATAAGATAATATGATAGTAAGGAAGATAGTTAATTATTTTTTAAAATAATTCTTTTACAGAAATTATTATAATAATTATGGAGCTTAAATTAAAGGTATTTATTTCTCCACAATCTTTTATTAGTCAATGTCAAGTTGAGAAAGTATTCAATTATTTTTATAAAATCTTTCAAAGTAAATTTGACTCTTATAAAATAAAACTACTTTATTGTTAAACTCGACCAATTCAGTCAATAATTGAATTGAAAGCGATCATATTATCGATATATAGAACTAAAAAATTGGAGGATAAAAAAATTAAAACAAAACCTGTTCAAAACAAATCATAAAAGATATTAAAATATATATATTATTTATATCTTCATTGTTTCCTAAGCCAATTATTTAAAATATAAAATAAATCAATATATATTTTATAATTATTTATATCTAAAAAATATTAGATCAAATAAGTCTTTACTCTCTTATTTTAATAATTTATCAATTTTGAGAAGAGAAAGATCAAATCAGAATTGTGTTGTTGAGATTTGAGTAATATATATATATATATATATATATATATATATATATATATATATATTCTAAATTGCATCACTCAGTTTAGAGAAGCCAATTCTATGCATTTTTTTTTAATCAGAATTTTCTACCAGTCAATGCTCAAAATAATTAAAAAAAAACATTTATTTAACGTATTAATAAAAATAGAAATTTGTAATCTTAAAATATAGAAATTAATTATTTGTTTAAAATGTATAAAATGAATAGTTTCAATTTTAATTATAAAATTCTATTTTAAAATCTTTTAGATTTTGGGCTCTAGTCGTTTCATTTACCAAAAGAAAAAACTTGCTGATTTTAGTCATATACATGTACAAATATGTTTGAACCTTAATTTTATTATTTATGTGAAATTAATTTCTTGATTTTATACTATATTGAAAATTAATTTAAAGATACATAAACATTAAAATATTGTTTTAGTAACAATTAACTAATAAAAAATTTGCACAATTCATTCATAAAAAATCAAAGATATCTTCCACTAAAACAATCAAATTCAAGTTAAGTAACATTACTTAGTTTTTTTTTTTTTTTTTATATTTAACACAAGTGCGTTCATTTACACTCAAATTTTCATGTTAAACTTTAATAACTCATATCAATTTATCTATATTACCACTATTGGGAGGGAACAAAGGGAGAGTCTCCTTCATAGATCTATCTTATAAACCCTTGAACTTGTTTATGTTTGATTATATATGACACTTTATTCACACTTTATTCCAACACTAATATTCCTTTCTAATGGTTTAAAACTACCACATAATTTTAAAATTTTCCATGTCTTTGTTTTAATGCACCATTGCAATGATTTTAACTCTTTACTTCTGTGTCTCAAATCTCTTAAAGTGTTGGGTTTATGCAATCGTTTGATCCTCTTTGAACATGTGTGTTCAGTGGAGGGTTTTTCTAGAATTCTCCCTTTTTTTCATAGGATGTAGGATTGATACACCAATTTTATTGATTGTTGATATAGTTTTAGAAAAATTGAACAGATAGGATTAAAAGTTGTTGAGTTATTAATAACCCATGTATAAGTGGTCACTCCACCCATCACCTTCACTCCTAGTTATTTCCAATCACATTATGTTCTCTCTTATCTCCAACAGTGCCTCCATCATCCTCTCCTAGGATGTTCCTTTCACTCTCTCACTTATTCACATACTCGTATTTTCAATCTCACACATCTTCACTTAAGTTTCTCCTTTGTCTCTAACTCTCTATCTCCCACCACATAGTGACAGAAGGGGTTGCAAAATATACAGAGGTTACTAGAGTGAATAACTCATGTCTTAAAAGTTTAGTAATCACAAGTTGAACCCGGAGCTTAGTTTTGAAGAAAAAGAGAAGGAGGGAGATAGAAAGAGCAATAATTGTCTTCTTAGATGACATTTTCATTGTCATCTTCAACATCATTTTCATCATTTAGTTGCTTCGTTTTGCCTTTGCATCATGCAAAGCACATTGAGAAACAAACATAGCCATGTCCATCTTCGTCAACGACATCCATCCTCCAACTTGTTTACTTGCCTATTTGGTAATGAGTTTGTAATCTTAACCATCATATTAAATATCATCAAATGATCACGAAATTTGATATACCAATCCTTCATCCCATGCTAGGAAAAAAAAAAGGATTCTAGAAAAACCCTTTAGTGGTATTTAAGTATCTAATCTCTTTGATACTAGATTTTTCATCTCTCACTCTCTTTTCTTATGTGTGTTTAATGGAATTTTCTCTCTAACAATGTCTCATGCCATAATTTCTCTACCTCTCACTTGTATTCTTGGTGATTTAATTAATCCAAATCACATGTTTTTGGCAATTCAAATTGTATCTACTTCTCCCTAGTTACTTGTTCACTATTTAATCATCTAGTTCAAATGTGTCTTTGTTGGTGGTTTCAATTGATTCAACATCTTTTGTGTTGTTTTGCTTTCATCAAAGTCTACCTTTTGATGCTTTTTGTTATTAGATAAGTGAGATTTTTATCATCATCTTCAATTGAATTTGTGGAATTAATTAGATCTAGAACTATCAATAATGAGTTCTAGAACGTTATTTGTAATCCAATGATTTGGTGAAAAAATAACTCTAAAAGTGCATAATTAAGAATTTGACCTCATAAATTCGAAATACTGTATGAGTTGTTCAACCTACTTGGATATAGATATTTGTGATTGAAAGGATTGTTGAGTATATATATATATATATATACTAATTCATTTTCCTCATCATGAACATCATCATCAATCTCTCAAACTAACTACTTATTACACTCATCAATTTCATTGAGTGTAATTGGATAAATTATATCTTTAAGATTGTAATGTTCTTTGAATTGTTGATTATATTTCACATGAACTATGTAATTTTTTGCGAGCAAGCATATTCCTCTTCTTTGAAAACATAAGTGTAACCAAAGAAGTTATTACTTAGTTTTTTTCTAATTTCTAGAAGACAGTAAGCTTAAGAGATGAGAGAAATTACTTACTCAAAAACACTCCAATTATGTTCACATCCGGACATGTTAAGCTTAAGATTTTGATAGCTAGTTGCTGCAAATGTGGAGTTGAATGTCTATACATTCTCCAACATTGAGCTATAAAATCAAAAATAAATTATAACTCTAAAGGTAAAGTCTTAACTATAAATTAACTTAAAATTAAAATGTTAAAATTTTTTATTAATTACCAAGAGCAATGCTTTTTCTTTGTGTTTTTGCAAAAACGAACCAAAGAGACCACAACCACTCTTATAAATTGATAATTCAAGTAGTATGCTTTGTTGCACATCTCGACTTAGCACCAACCTTTTGATACAACCATACAACACATTCGTAACCTCTAAATCAAATTCTATTTGAAGGTTGTCATAATAGAATTTCAAGTTTAAAATGTAACCAACTGCATGCAATGGACGATGAAGCTGACAAGTCCATCTATTATCAATGATTGTAAACACATCTTTATATTTGCTTTCATTATTTTTGAATGACTTCATAATAGTTTCTTTACCTTTCTCCATTGCTTTATAAATATACTTCATGGCTAGTATTCTTTCTCCATCAACCAAATGTAACACTTATACAAGAGGAGTCATGATTTTCAAAGTGTATAACACATTATTCTAAAATACATGATTTAATACAATTTTTGTTGCTTACTTCCCTTTAAGTTCTTTTGACAACTTGTTTTTACACCACTCCTCAAAAACAAGTATCTTTTTAAGATTTTCTTTTTCTTGATGAAGCATTTCTAATAATAGAAAGGAAGTTGCAAATCTAGTAACTGCATATTTCACAAATTCTCTCTTGTTTGTAAAATTTCTCAATAAACTCAAGGTACTTGAAATACTATAGATAAAGCCAACAAAATATATTCTTCTTTGAATTATCTTCTTTATCAAAGAAAGCTTTCCAGTATCTTTAAGCCTAAGATTTAGGCAATGCACTGCATAAGAAGTCCAATAAAGATATGGTCTTTTTGCTTCCAACATCTTATCAACCAAGACATAATTGCTTCAGTTATCCGTTATAACTTGCACAACTTTATCTTCTCCAATCTCCTCTACAAGAGTATCAAGCATCTCAAATAATTTTTCACCAATCTTCATAAAATTAGATCCATCATTAAATCTCACAAACATAATCTTAGCATGGGAGTTGACCAAGAAATTAATCAAACATCTTTGCTTTTGATTAGTCCATGCATCTGACATGATGGGACAACCATGTTTGCTCCATTGCTCCTTAAGATCTTTCATGAGAGAATTAGAATATTTTATCTCTTTCTTAAGAAGTGAAACTCCAATATCATGATAACTTAGAGCTGGTCAATTTAGACTAAAGGCACCACAATTGTAAGCATTTCTTGAAAGCTCTTCATTTTAACAAGGTTAAAGAAAATGTCAACTTGATACCAAAACCCTTTCCTTGATTTCCTTGTCACATACTTCTTTTATATTTGCTTGACACATATAATTAAATATTCAATTTTATTTAATATATTAAAAAACTACATTATTTTTTTTCTTATTAACAAGTATTCATAGAAAAATAATTAAAAATAATTTGATATATCTCATTAAATATTTTAATTATTTAAAAGAATCATACGACATTTATGTTTTAATAGAATAAAATATATTTTATTTTAACTTATGTATTACTATTAACTCCTTCATGTATAGCATTTCTTTTACCTATATATTTAAGAAATATATATATATAATTATATTAAATTTATTTTCAAAAAATTTTGTTGATGTGTAATATTATCAAGAAAAAGATGTGGTGTCTTTTTTTTCTTCAGCGTTATTTTTAAAAAAAATAACATGGGATGAAAGAATTAAGATCATGTTTTATTTCTATTTTAAAAGTAACAGTTGAAAGATCTTTTGTCCATTAAAATTTTGACTATCTTTCTTGTCTTGTCCCAACTCCTAACAAAAAATACCAAAAGTTTCAAAAAGAAACAACATGATGTGGCAGTCCATTTTGATTCTTGCACATGCATCAGAGCCAAATGATTGTTTTAATTGGTATAAGCATCAGTTGATATTTATAATTTTTAATTAATTTTATTTTATAGATGTGAAAAACTTATACTATGTGTTTCATAGGCATGCCATACTTCCTTACCATTTCTTTTTCAATCAAAATATACAATTTGTCTAAAACCTGAAATGTCAGTGAGGACATATGTTTTGTTAAACATTGGTGCTTAGTTGATTCTGAATTTCACTATGTTAGAAAATTTCTTTTTGGTGACAAAGGAAAGGAGACTAGGAGTAAAATTGTTAGAAAACCTTACATATTTATGTTTAGTGAGTAAATTTTTCTTCTTTTTTTCTTGAAAGTATATGGGCATTCTAAAATTATGATTTTATTATGAAACTGCGTATGAGACTTAAAAATGTTCAATAAAAAATGTGACAAACAAAATAAAAGGTGAAATTTTTTTGGCATAAGGAGTATCTCGTATGGGAAAAAAAAATTTAATACTCCCTTCTCCCACACTACCTTTTTTCATTAGAAGGAATAAGGGTTTAGTTTTTATGTTCATAAGAATTTTTGTTGATGTTTTCCCTATTGAATTTTATATAATTTTAAAATTTAGATATACCTATCGAACTTATTAGATCTAGTTTTGTACCTAATTTAACATACTTAACAACAAATGCACTTCTACAGATCACATGATATATGACTAAACCCTGTTCAAGAATGCGAAACCTACTAATATCTTAAAAGTCAAAATAATGTATCAATAATTATAATTAGAGTTGATAAATCAGTCTATCCTATTTATTCAAGTCAACCTCTTGTAAGTTGTGGACTATAACAAGTTAGCTTTAAAAGATATAAATCTAATTTAAAATTAAAAAACAATACTTAAAATGAGCAAAAGTTATTTTTTTGTAAGCTTTTGTAAACTCAATTTACATCGAACTTTCTTAAATTGAATTAAAAAGATCTAAATATAATTTGAGCTCAAAATTTAAAGTTCAGAATCTACGTTGTATTAGGTAAGGGTCCAATTGAACAAGTCTATTTGACAGGCTCTAATTATAAGCATAAAAAATATCATTAAAATTTAATTTAGAATATAAAAAAAATATATAATAATAGTTTATTAATTTTTTTGTAAATGAACATTATAGTAATTATATATGATAAAAAAAATTAATATTTTATTATAAAATAAGCATAATAAATATCATTATATTTTTATATACCAAAGTTAATTATTAGTAATATCAATTTAATATTAATTCCAAAAAAGGTTATTTAATAACAATTTAGTATTGGATTCCCTTTCATTAATATATATTTTTTCTTAAAAAGTTTGAATTACTTGTATAATATATACTTTGAAGTAATATAGAGGAGTGGTAAAGACTTCTGCAGTATATCCCCATTTAAAAAAAACATTACTGATTTCAATTTACTTGATGACAAGTTCTGAGAAATAGCTACGGTGAGTAGACTAGTTTAAGTAGTTCGTAGAAATTGAAAATTCATTGACGACTAGGCAAGTCATGTGATGGACACTTAGCACGAAATGATCTGACATTCATTTCATACAAATCAACCTACATTCATACATCAATGGGCACGCGACCTCAAATCCTCAACCAAAGAGTTGAAGTCGGAGTAAGACGATCCTCCTTCCTCCATAGCACGCCTTGCCATCTGACCAAGTTCCTTTGCTCTGTTTCTCATTTCCTCTGCTTCCTCTCCCACCATTATCCGTTTCACCGCTTTCTCTATTGCCTCCTTCTTCACAGGCTCTCGACCCATCATCCCAATCCACGTTTGAGCCCCCACACCAACCCCAATCTTAACTATGTCAGTCAAAAACTTAGCATTATAAAATTGCTCTGCATACATTGGCCATGTCACCATTGGCAACCCCCCACACACTCCTTCCAACACTGAATTCCAACCACAATGAGTCACAAACCCACCAACCGCTTCATGGTCCAAAATCATCACTTGGGGTGCCCAACCCCTTATGATTAGACCCTTACCTTCTACCCTTTCCTCAAACCCTTCTGGGAGCCACTCCAATTTTTCACCTTCACTTTTAGACCCTTTCTTCACAACCCATATAAATGGTTGACCAGAAGCCTCCAAACCCAATGCAATTTCCTTAAGCTGAGCATCAGGGAAAGCTGTCATGCTACCAAAACAAGCATAAACTACCGAATTCGGTTCCTTCGACTGAAGCCACGTCAAACACTCGTGCTCACTAATCGATGCTTCCCTTCCTCTACTCACTTTCTCTTCAGTGTTCCTATTGCTCAAAGAAACCGGCCCCAAATGCCATGCTTTTCTTCCAAGCTCTTTCCTATAATGATCCGCGTAAACTGGTTCAAGTTCATAAAAGCTGTTAGCAATCACACCAAAGCTCTTCAACTCGGAGTCACTAGATTCTTCCAACAACTTGGCGAAAAGCTCATCGTGCGTGGGAATTTGCGGCAACTGCATCTTGGTAAGTGTTATTTCACCCGGAAGATTCGGAACCACGAACGGTTCCATGAAAGAAGAAACCTTGTCTTGAGGCTTGTATTGTCTCACGCAAGCTAACACACACAAAGGGAAGAACCCCAACCCATGAAACACAATCCTAGGAATCCCAAACTTGGCGGCAGAATCAGTTGCCCACGGGTAGAACATGTCAGCAACAATGCAATTTGGGTGTTCTTCTTGCAACAAGTGCTCTAGTGGGTCCTGCAGCAAAGTTGTAGCCTTCATGAGTTTCATGATTTTGTCCGGGGACAGTGCTGACTCAGAATTCTCGCAACCTTCGGGTAAGCCTGTTTCTTCGGGTGAGGGGAATTTGATGGTTTTAATGTTGATGTTGGCCTCTCCAACGGTTCGGGAGATGAAGGGAACGTTGAGGGGTGTAGTGACTATGGTGGCTCTTATTCCTCTTGAAGCGAAGATTCTGGCCAAGTCCACGCATGGTATGATGTGGCCATTTGCAGGGTAAGGGAAGAAGAATACGTGAAGCTCGCGATTTTCGTTACCCATTGTGAGTTAGAGCTTGGGAGTTCTTGGCCGTGGAGGATGATGGCTTTGGATTGATATTAATGTTGGCTATGACTCGTTCTGATTATAAAAGGAGAAATCACCGATTGAGAAGGGAAGGCGCGTTTCGCACGGGTAATATTAAATTGTTCTTCATTTATGTTGTATTTTATTTGAATATGACCTTTGTATTCGTTGCGCATGCACGATTGATCGGTACACCGCGCGATCCTCGTGCTTAGATTAAATAATAGAGTGATGTTATTTATTGAAATAAGAGGATTAAACCTTTGTGTTAATTAGTACTTTAAATTATTCTTTTTATCAAGTTTCTTAACTTTTAATGGTCAAATTAATTTTTGAATGCTGTAAAATGTTATTACATTAGTTTTTAATTATTATTAAATATTTTAAAGATTTAATTTATTGTTAAATAATTATTCAATTGTCTGTTACTACTTTAATGTGAAAAAGAATACGGTAATATTATATATTTTGAAGCATTAATTCAACGATAATGTTTTTAAAGGATTGATATGATAATACTTTAAATCTTTAAAAGATTTATCATCTCTGTAATATTTATAAAATTAACTTGCAAAAGTGACAATGTATAATAATATATTATTATTAAAAAAAGTTAAATTATAAATTTAGTTTTTATAAGACATTTTTTTTAAGTTTGTTTTTATATAAATAAAAATTATAATTTAATCTTTATACACGAGTAAACATTTTTTATCAGGCTTTATTATTAAAAATCCTATTAATGATGTTAGATGAAAGGAATTAAAATATAAAAAAAACATTCTATGAAAATTAAAATGTATAATTAAAAGACCAAATGTACATTTAATTATAAATGAAAAATTACAAACTTTTAAGAAACTAAATCTTTTTATATTATAAAAACAATAAATCTTTTCTTTTCTGTAAGAAAAAAATCTCAAGAAGGATAAAAGATGAACATAATCTTTTTCACATGAAAAATATTAACCTCAATCTTACAGTTTAGGATAAATAATTAATAATAGTATAATTTTATTAAAAATAAAAATATTTATTGTACTTACATACTTTTAATATAATAAATATATATATATATACATAAAAAAAATTATTTATTAATACTTAAACTCAATCCTAAATTTTAATATTAACAAAAAAAATTTAAATAAAAAATGTTAACATTAACTTTTAGAGATAAGAATAAGCAACTAATAATAATAAAATTTTATAAAAAATATATATATATTATACTTTTATAATTTTAATGCAATTAATATGTATTTTTTATAAAAAAATATATTAATGTTTAAATTCAGTTGACTAAGGTTAACATTATCAATATTATATAGTAATTGATATACAATAAAAATATTAATGCTGATATCTTATTCATTTATTTAAAGATATAATAAAAGATAAAAATATAAAATAATAAAATGTTAATTTAAATGTAATTTTTAAAAAATTATAATTAATTAGAATACATATCTGCATATATTTATTTATAAATTAGTTTTTATAAGTAAAATTTTATATTTTAATTTTTATACAATATTTAGTTTATGTTTTAGTCTTTTTATTAACATTGTTAATTTATATTAAACAAAAGACTAATATGAAAATATTTACTCACGTAAAAAATTATAATTTTTTAATATCTAAATTAAAAAATGTATAAAATATAAAGACTAAATTTATAATTTAACCAAAAAAATCATTTAAGCATATCACTTATAATTAATGAATATATTTATAAAAGAATAAGCTATTATTTCATTTCAATTGTAATAATAATTTAAAATCTTACCTAAAGTTTTTTTTAAGTGGGAGACTTCTTACTATGTTATATAATTATTTGTTTTAAATTACCACTATTTGAATATTAAATTAGATAGTTGATTAATTTGAGTCAAGTTTAACTGGTCATGATATTAGGATAACTGCACTGCTTTTAAATATTTATATAGAACTTGAAACTTTTAAAACAAAAATATGCTTCTACATGATTTGTTGATGATGCTACTAAGAAAAGTCAACACAAATGAGAAATTTAGGATCTATCAGAATTATAAAGAATATAAGCGTCAGTCATTATGCAAGATTAATATTCTAATTCCATAGTTAGTACCTATCTTTTCTGTGCACAACCAACCAATGTTAACACTTCTATTCAGTAAAATAAATTTCAAATATACATCAGGACTTCGACATGTTACCCAATGCTCTTCGACTTGCAAATTCTTTCAAACATGGGTATGTTGTTAAACCATCGACAAGTTGTCACATCCACGTTAATTGTCACGTTGTGAGAGAAAAATTTCAAGCCAAATTATTTCCTCTTCTACCTATATCAAATCGTAAAAATTATAATTGGTAAACAAATAAATTCAAAAGTAATATAGAGTTAAATTTAGACTTTTTTTAAATTTTTAAGTGTGTTATTAATTTGATAATAAAATTAATGTCATAAAGTAAATAATTAAGTAGGAATAATAAGAAAATGGTGAAACCTACAATTTTAAATTGAAAGTAAGTGCTTACATCAATGTATTAAGCAAGGACGTAATTAAAAGAATAAAAGTGTGAAAGAAACAAAAAAATAAACAAGCTAAAATTAAACCGCAGAAAAATAAACGTACAATTTCAGCAATAAACAACAATAGTCGTGTATCTCTTAGTAGCTGATGTCTGGCTCAGTGCAGAATTTTACCATGCAGAGAGTTTTAGGTGTAGTGTCTGGGTGAAAAAAGTCGTTTTTGGTAATGCAAAGCTTTATAATATTTATAGGCAATATATCTCAACTACTTTCCTCCTTTTGCTGGCACTTTTTGGTAACTATTTTCTGTACGTGCTTTTTCTCAATTGCTATTGTCCATTATCCATAACTGCTCATGATCGTGCCTTCTCCATGATTTTTATTACCCATGAACATTTCTTCATGCCCACGATCTCTAAACTTCAACTAGTGATAACCGCTGGTAACTGCTAGTGACCGCTTCAAACTTTATTTAAGCCTTGTGATTTTTTTGACGTGTTTTTTCATCTTTTGGGTTTTATCTTATCTGTAGAACTTAAAATAATTTACTTATCACTTTATGTTTTGACAAGTTTTAAGGAAATCTTATCAAAAACTCTCATGAACTTAGAATAATTTTCCTTGTTACTTCCTTTTTCGACCAATTTTAGAGAAAATTAGTGAGTTTCACCTTATCTTGTGGACTTAGAATAATTTTTCTTGTCTATTCATTTTTTGACAAGTTTTGAGGCTGTTTTCAATCTAGGACTCAAAATCCCCAAAACTCCTCGAAAGACAATCTTCTTTTTGACAGAAACTAAGGCTCTTATCAAGACCTTCAAAACTCCTTGAAATTAAGTCTACTTTTCGACAAAGAATGAGGCTCTTCTTTAATGCTCCAAAACTTCTCGAAAAATAATTTTTCTTGTGATTAGGAATGAGGCTCTTAGGACCCTCCAAGACTCCTTGAGATGTAGCCTTCTTTTTTACAAGAATTAAGGCTTTTCTGCTAATCTTCACAGAAACGTGTCAAAAAGTGGTTCTTTCGACAAGATTTTAGGACTTTGATATTTTCACAAGTCCATGACTCATCAAAATGTAGGAATCTAGGGTCGAAAGACTTAGTCTATCTCCTGCCACAGAAGTTTAGTGTAGTCTATCTCCTGCCACAAAAGTTTAGTGAAGGCCTATGTACTTTAGAAAATTTTACTTTCTTCAAACACTAATTCAAAATAGATCCTAGATATTTTTACTATGCCTTTAAAATACATTACTTTCCACAACTTTTGAGACAAGCTTGGAGTGATTAACACAAGGGTGTGCATAGATTAAATTTGTATAAAATTAATTTAAATTTATTTTAAATCTAATTATATGAGCTAAATTTTAAACAATTTTTTTTAAAATTTAAATTTAGTTTAAAACTGATTTTAAATTTAAATTAATTGAGATTCATTTTAAATCTAATTATATAGGTTGAATTTTAAACTAATCTATTTGATTTTTTTCAAAACTAGTTTTAAAATTTGTATTTGATTTAAAACTAATTTTAAATTTGGTTTAAAATTCGTTCTCATTCACAAATCATACTTTTTCAGTTTTTTGGTTTAAATTTGGCAAATTTATTACAATTTACAAAACAACTTGTTAAAGTAAATTATGTTATAAAAAAGAACTTGCAAGCTTAAAAGGAAACATCCTAAGCATATTCGCATTGTAGAAACTTGTGTAAGATTGAAAATTTAGAATTCATAAGTCAAAGAACACTAGAAAAAATAGGAGCAAAATCTCAACAAATTTCACTAGAAAAAGTGGTCATTTTCCACATTTATCCATCAAAGTTACTCCTAAAGTTGTCTGTGAGATCTATAAACAAAAATTACAAGATTGTATAAAGACACAAAGAAGAAGGAAACACTTATAAAAATTAGCATATAAAGTTAAACAGACAAAAATGATAAAATTGTGTGAAGAGGAATTAAGAACATTGACATAAACTATTGTTATAACTCCAATACTCACATAAAATCTATCATAAAGAAAAAATTTTGCTTTCATGTGAATGGTTCTACAAATATAACATTCTCACATTCATCTTTTCTTACTTGTCATATGACAGAAGCATAGAGAAGGAGCTGCACATAACAGAGATAAATATAGAATTTGTATAAAAAGAAATGTCACATGTCTCTCCAAACTGTTGCATATCATCAAGCTAATTGCCAATTCTAACATAACCAAGTAACCAAATACCATAAATGCCTACAAAAAGTTAAAGATAGGTTGCATGAACGAGGCTAATGTAGAATAAGTGACTTCAAATACCTCAATTGAAAAAAGTTATAAAGAACTCACTGATCACTTAGGAAAATCAGAGATGAAAGGAAAACTCTGAAGTTACAAAAGTCACAAAACAGTTTCTTAGATAATGACAAAAAAATGAGATATAAGAATCTTTTTAATTTTGTTTTATTAAAGAGCAAGAAGAATATTACCTATTATAGCCTAAATTCGCCAATTCAAATATGATCCAATAAGATAAGTCACGGAAAATTCCCAACAAATCATAAACTGTCAAAATCATACCAAATAATATACATATGAAATAAGTCTTTTGTGACATAAAATAAGCTGCATGGTACACAAAATAGGAGCAAAACATATGAGGAGATTGTAGTAATTTAGTTTGTTTTACCTGATGAATTGTAGTGAATGCTCCTCGAAGATTTTTTGGCGTTATTTCTGCTACATAATCTGGTACCTATTATGCAAAGGGGACTACATATTTGTAGATTTTTTTAGTGACAGAATATCGTTAATATAAAGTGCAGTCACAACATACCACAAGTCACAACAATTACCACGTAAGATAACAGGCTAATCCCACATCCTTTCAACAGTCTTCCAACATAAAGCCACCAAGCAACCTTCAAACAAGCACTAAATGTTCTATATCAAAAACTGAATTTAAGGAAACTCTGTCCTCATAATCAAGCCACCCACTACAAAGAGAATCCTTATTCCTTTCCTTTCTTGTCAAAACTTAGTCTACAAATTCATATAAATTTTAATACAAACACATTAATGACTAAGCACCCATGGTCATTAAAACATAAAACACCTAAGACTATAGCTTAAAAACAATTTAACAAGTGCTTTCTATACTAAATCTAAGGTTTATAGTGCAATCTATCATCCAATAAACTTAATGTGTAAATAATTTATTTATTATCACAAAAACTATGTAATTTTCTTAATTTAAAAATAAAAAATTATCCTCCTCTCTCTTTTAAAAATTTTCTCCTAAATAATTCTTTAAAAAATAAAATATGTAAAATGACTCAAACAAATGAGATGTTATCTTATAATCAAATGCATAACAAAATGTCATCTTACATTAATATTATATTATACAAACTAAAATCACAGCATGACTTACTAAAAATAATAGAGAAAGCTTATATGAGAGGACCATAAACTCCACTAAGAAGAATCCTTGTGGTCCTCTTGCCAACCCAATAAAATCAAATCTCCAAAATATTGTCGGCTATAGTAACATTATATATGGACTTTATATATAGTTTTTGAGTAATGTGTATTTTATCTTTGACATTAAAATTGTTCCTAACTAATCTTTCCTGCGGAAGAGAAATCTTATTTAATCCTGATGTGATCAAAATATAATTTTAATATTCGATCAATATCTAAACATAAATATCAAATAACTACTTCCCAAGACTTTTTTATATATTATTATTATTTTTAAATTGTATTATGAAAAATAGAGATTTATATTTCTCGTTATTCAAGCAATAGTACAAATACGTAATTAAAATTGGAGCAACACTAGTTATTTTATATAATTTAGGCATGTTTGAAGATAGCACCTACAATGTTGCAAAAATTATTGTTGCGACGAAGCCAAGCTAATGTTCAGCAATTTTGAGGTTACAGATTGAGATTTGGGGTTCAATAGCCAGTTTTCAGCAATTTTGATATCAGAGATTAAGGGATTTAGAGTTTAAAAGAGAAATGAACTAGGAGGGACCTGATCATGTAAAAAAAAGTCAATTTTAGTCAATTAAATATAATTCTGATATAAAATATATCCTTTTTTGTGGATTATATATTTGATTTTTGTAAAAATCTAAATTTTTAAATCCAATTAAACTTGGATTATAAATTGTACCTTAATATTCAGATTTTTTTTTTCATGCCCATATTTACATCTACTCACCAGGATATATATATATATATATCCTCTTATTACATTCAGGACGTACATTTATTTCAAATTCTTCTTGACCAAAAATCCTTTAGGAAGAAAGTTGAAAACATGAAATGTCATTGCAAAGGCAACTCCTTTGTTAATTGTATTTGGTGCGTCCAGTGATCTTGCCACAAAGAAGACATTTCCTACACTTTTCCATCTACACTGGAAGCAAATTGGAATTTTGCTTAACAGCCACTGGTAATTTCTTGGCGGCATGCTCTATTAATGGATGTGGCTTTGATGACAGATATCATTAAAATTTCCTTAATGTCTTTTCTAATCGTGTTAGTTAGTTATATGGGCCGAAACGGTAATTGAGACGAGAACATCAGAGTTTGCACTAAATCGAACTTCAATACTACCACACAAACCGTAACTATATTTATACATGTTAAACCCGTCCCAAATATTGTGAAGTATGCCTGCTAATGCTACAAGCTACACAAGTGTGTCCCTTCTCACAATCAGTATTTGTTGAATTGCATTTAAAAAGGATGCCCCCATTGAACGCATATAATCCACCATTAAATTTCAAGTGATACAGGAAAATATCAAATAAAAACTCTTTCTCTAGTTATTTTGAATGTGTACTAAGCGTGAATAAAAAAACATTACTTTTCGTAAACAAAATGAACATCAACTTTCTCTAGCAATACATCTAATATCGAATCTAAACTTGTCTTGCCAATCTGCGAGCTTTAAGCTCCTGAATTAAGGACTCAGCATCACCATAAGATGTTCCACCTTTCTCAACAGCTCTTTTAGCTTTACCAGCAATATCTTTGACTCGCCTTCTCATTTCCCTTACCTGTTCACTCTCAACCATCAACTTCTTCACTGCCAACTCCACTTTATCCCTACCCACAAACTCTTTCCACTCTGTATTCCACGACACCCACTCTCTGCTTCCAACTTGGACCCCAATCCCCAACACCTTCGTAACCAACTTCTCATTTGAAAACTGCTCAGCCGAAAGAGGCCACGTAATCATTGGCACCCCCGAACTCACACCTTCCAAAGTTGAGTTCCATCCACAATGAGTCATAAACCCTCCAATTGCAGCATGCTCCAAAATCAATAACTGAGGAGCCCAACCTCTAAGAATCAACCCATTATCCCTTTCCTTCATCCTCTGTTCGAACCCTTCAGGAAGCCAGTTCCAGCTTCCGTTTTCTTCTTCGCTTCTATTAGAAATCTTCCCCACCACCCAAATGAACGATTGTTCTGAAGCCTCGAGACCATACGCTATTTCATTTAGCTGTTCCAGTGGTAATCGAGCCAAGCTTCCGAAGCTGACATAAAGAACCGAATTGGGTTTCTTAGAATTCAACCAATTCAAGCATTTTTGCTCATCGACGGTTGGTGCCTTCCCTCTCTCCGTTTTATCAGCTTCGGTTCTGTTGCAAAGTGACACGGGTCCCACAATCCATGCTTTCTTTCCCAAGTCGTTTCTGATGTAATCGGCATAAGCAGGTTCCAAGTCATAGAAGCTGTTGATAACAGTGCCGAAACTTTTGTCCTCTAATTGCTTCATCCTGTCAGGAAACTCAGATGGATTTCTCAGAAAAACAGGAAGTTGAGACCTTGTCATTTCGATTCTATCAGGAAGATTAGGAACAATAAAGGGGTCAAAGTCTGAAGTCAGATTCTCAAGCACCACGTGTCTTCTAATGTTTTCATGGACACAGCGAGCGAAGCACCCGTTACCGGTGAAGACAATTCTTGTGATTTGGAGTTCGTCAACGATGTCACCAGCCCAACGATGGAACATGTCGATGACAATGCAATCGGGTGGGTGTTGAAGGAGGAACTGTTTGAGGGGTTCGAGGAGAACGGAGGTGTCGATCATGGGAGTAGCAGACATGTCTGTGTCGGTTATGTCGGCGGAGAGAGTGTGAATGGTGATGGGAAGACCAGAATGTTGGTCGCGAGTGATTGATTTTTGGAAGTTGAGTGCGTGTGAGGGTGTGGTTAGAATGATTGATGTGGCGCCGTGAGATGCGAACACTCTTGCTGTGTCTATCATTGGGATTTGATGGCCTCCTCCTACGAAGGGAAAGAACAACATTTTAACTGAACAGGTTTTGGAGTCCATGTTGAACTGGTTCAGAAACCGTGAGAGATGAGGAGGTGGAAGATGTAAGTGGTTGATCCTATCACTACTTCTATTTATTCCTTTTTCCTTCGAAGACGGTGGAACTTGCAGATTCTTACGTCCCACAACATTATTGTTCAGTGCTGAGAAAAAGTTAAAGCAAAAACGTCATGAGTGACATACTGCTACACTAGTTGCCTAGTTCAATGGCTTGTAGCGTTTGACTGAATAGCTGTGACTGAATGGACGGGTCTTACAAAATTGACAAATCACGTGAGAGTAAAATATGATGCATGTACTGTCATTATTGTTATTTTCATCAAAACTCAATGTATACGGAGGAAGAAAAGAATTTTTCTTGGACGCTCTTCCTCTTTAAGCATAATAGACCCTAGATTTTCGCGCGTGCAAAATCGTAGTTATACTATTTCATGAAAGATTTCTATGGGATTAATTAGCCCGCATTAGGCGCGATATGGATATTGAGTTTTATTTTAGTTGCTACATACAAGGAGCTGTACAACCCCACCTACAGCAGAGTCAACATTCTTGACAACAATATTTACAAGGTAGACTCACAGATGAAGAGGGAAACTAGCTTTGGTTCAAGTGTGAAAAAAGGTAAGATTCAAGGAGAGGATGAGAAGAAAGGCTAAGTTGGCATTGGCTTTTTGGCAAAGGGAATGAAATTTTATTTTCGCTTAAAGGAATATACAATAAAATTTTGTGTCCTTATCATGTTATAAAGAGAGAAAATTCAAATCTGATTTTCTCTAGCATAGGGATTATGGGTCGGTCATTTAGTATTGTCTAGAACTATAACAACAATCAAGCTTTATGTTAACTACATAAATCATACAATGCTAATAAATTTGATCAAAAACTAAATTTTCAAAAATTTAATTAATTAAAAAATTTCTTTTAATAAGTTTAATATGAAGTTTTTTTTTACCTCTCCCCTTAATTTCTTTTTTTTTTCAGATTAAAAATCATACAATACGTTGTCCTCATTAGTACTGCAAGTTTCCACCTTAGATGTGTTTCAGTCTTCATAAAAGACCACAAGTATATAAAATATCTTGATTAATGCCTAAGCATATATTTTTAATTGTTTTTATTATAGTATAGAATCTCACTAGATTTTGCTTATTTTTAATATGTTATACCCTCATAACATCTTTTTCTGGAAACTTTAAGTAATATTTTATGCTCGCGTGTAGCAATGATTCAATATTATTTTATGGTTGACAACCCTTCAAAGTGAATAGTGAAATGCAAATGAAAAGATCATATATGAAAATGTCTGTCAACTCGTTATGGGATCTCTTGGCCTTGACCCCGTCTATAAAACACTGACTAATCCAATTTAACAATGAACTGGGTAAATACGGATAAGACTTTAGAACCTCGAGAATAATCCAATATGAAAGAGGACCGGACATAATTACATATAAATTAAAACCCTAAGCAATTTACAATATAAGTTTATAATACAGGATAAAAAGGATCTATTCCAACCTCATGTCAGATTTAACAAAGACTAGATAAAGATGAAATGGATATAACGTCTCCAAGCTAAATGCACAAACTATGTCAAGAAAGGAGACCGATAAATCACTTCTCGAATTCCCTTTAAATGGTTAATGCCCGCCACTAGAAGATCTGAGGAGGCCATCAAAAGTTGCCGTCAGCTCCTCTTTTGGCCTGGTATATACGTACGTAACAGTCTAAACATCAATTAGATGATGACTACATGCATTATACGTGGCTAATAATAATGAGGTTATGCTGACTTTCGCCCGCACAACCTGAAAGCAAAGCAATTTGGATAATGTTTTCTCAAATTATGGGACCAGTCACCACTCTCCAGCGCGTTTTGACAACAGGGCTGCCTTAACAATATTCCCCCTTGTAATAAGTCCAACCTAGCAAGAATTTGAAAAAAAAAAATCAGCAAAAGTCACCACTACTGTAAGAAGCACAAAAAGTAAACTTGGAAAAGGGAATAAAGAATCTCCTTACCAGCTTTCCATCATCATCTACCACAGGTAGTCGACGATATTTTGTTTCAAGCAACAGCCTAATACAGGAAGTAATGGTGTCAGGCATCAAGTAGTCAATGGTTGTAAGGTTGTTTAATTTAATTGAAATACAATGAAAAAACTAAATCAAATGGGTGCACTGATTTTTGTTGTCCTCAATCCTCATACATTGGCAAAAAATTAGCAAGTTACAACTATATCAGTAACAAAATAATCATAGCATTCAACATTATTGGACATGAATGCAAAGTCAGTACCTAGCAGCTTCCTCAAGACTAGTCGATTCATGAACAACAAGTGGTGTTGGAGTCATCAAGTCACCGACAACTTTGCCATTAGTCTTACTAAGAAGCTTTTGTATCTCATTGAATGTCTGTCATGCAAAACAATAACTAAAACCTTAGATGTGTAATCAATTAATAGACTAATAATAGTTCTCATCTTGCAAACCAACGTGTACTAACAGAAGGTCCAGGAAATTTCAAGCAAGAAAACATAATGGAAAAAAATCCAACACAACAAAACAAAGAAGATATAAGCTGGCTATAAAAAAGGAGGAACTGCAAGCAGAGGTTGGTCACAAGTATTTATGTATTCAATCATCCAAGTCTTAATTAGATCTTAGCCAACCAAACAAAGTGAGCTCCACTTATGTTTGTAAATGGCAGCATGTTGGAACAGATGAATTACTAATTTGCGCAGAAAAAACTATGTTTAAGAGTGAGCATCATCATTCATCATTATACAATGCCCCCACATCAAATTAAGCCACAATAGCATATTATAGCAGCATTTGGCATCAATTTTAGAGCTCTAATCCATATATATTAGAAGAATTCATACAGTCGTAGTAGTAGCTCAATCAATGCCACTAATATATTCCACCCAGGAAGCAGAACATTAAATGGTTAAACTTACTTTCCAAGAACTATCAACAGCGGGGAATAAATTTGCATCACTTTGAGGACCTCCTAAAAGCCAAACACAAGAAGAAGTAAAAACTTAGCAATAACGTGCAGAGAACTTGTTTCACAAGATTAAGCACATAAATGGAATTCCAAAATGCCTGGGTTTCAGACTTGCCAAAAAAGTTAAATACCCCATTAGTTTCAAATTATTTGTTGTTTAAACCTTAAGGCAATGCACCCATCACAAAAAAATTATTAATTACACTAATTACTATGACAAAAGTAGTCTCCTTCAACTAGAATTCCCTAACTAAAAGCGTCAAAGTGTAATCATTAATTAATCAAATATTTAGATGAGATACCAAAACATGTGTTGTTGGAAAAAAGAGTAGCACTTTCTTTATTTTCTAAAGTAACGAATGCTTTGAAAAAACCAAAACTCCTAAAGCTAATATTGGCCTATTTGCTAACTTACCAAAATAGAACCTACTGTCTCTGACAAAAGCATGGGCATAAAACCTATGGTATCTTCAATCTTTCAACAATAACATTGCAAACTTTGAAAAAAATATAAACTTTAAACCGACATGGACACTAACTTGCCTTCGTAAATAACAGAATTTGTTTTACTTCAATGGAAAAGACAAAGTACCACAACATAGTATTACCAGTTTTGTATTCATCATATCCATAGTACCTGATATCGAATCAATAGCTAACAAGTCATAATCTGAAACAACTCCAACCTGCAGGTCCAAAAAAACCAAAATTCCAATGATGAATTGAATCCAACCCAAAATGTAAAAACACAGATATATTTGAAGAAAAACTAAAATTACATAATGAAGCAAAAGAAATGAAAAGGGAATTAAAGAATTACCAGATTCCAGTCATCATCGATGACCGGAAGACCGCTGATTCTGTTATTGACGAGAGCCTCCAGAGCTGTACCCCAAAAAATAACATAAAACAGTGAATCGCATAACAATATCATAGAGCATAAAAAAGGACAGAGAAGAGTGATTATGGGGTACCTTCATCAACAGTGGTGGTGGTTTTGACAACATATAAATTTTGCTTCGTTGTCATGAAATCAGCAACCGTGTATGTTCCATTCTCGCGCTGAAAGGGGAAAAAAACGCAACACGCATAAGAAAAACAGAAAAAGGAACCCGGTTGCGTAAGAAAGAGGCTTGATCCGAAGAAAAGAACACTCACCGGAACAGAATTCACGGTTGGACCGGAGGCAAGGCGGAACCTAGCGGAGTGTGAAAAACGACGCCGTTTCGGGACGGCGGAAGGACGACGAGGGGAATGGCATTGAGGAAAAAGGGACGGAGAAAAGGAGCGAAGCGGAGCAGAAAGAGTGTTAATCAAATGAATCGAACTCATTTCTTTCTTTTTCTTTCCTACAGCAGAAGAAATAATTTCACTTCTATTTATCTTTTATTTTTTGTTCAAATTTGAATTTTGGATGGCGATTCTTCTGCTGAAGTTGAAAAGTGTACAGAAATCAGAGATTAAATAATGAATGGGAAAATAACGACGATAATGGCGCTGTGTCTCTATATCTCAGGGGAATGATAAATAAATTAAAAAAATGAGTTAATAAATAAATAAATAGAAAAATAGTTGAAAGAAAAAGTAGAAGACGTGAGCCGTGAGCGTACTTTACTTTTCCGTTGAAGGCGGTGGGAATGCGAACAAGTTGACAGTGGCGCACAGCAGTCGGTGTCGGGCACTTCACAACGGCGTCGTTTGGTTTGGGTTCATTGACATTTTTGGATTTTCAAAGTAGATGGATGTCTCATTCGGTGTTGCTTTGGGCCTTGGCCCCCTTACCTTGCTTGAGGGAACTTTCCTCATGCCCTGTGCCGTTTCTAAATCTTCTTCTTCCGTTTGAACTTTATTTTTTTTGGTCAACAACATTTTAAATATTTTTAAAATGTGTTCAGATCTACTTCTAGAAAAACGCAAACAGCTAAAGTTATACCTCGATGTCGTGCCGTCAACACGCTTACAAATTTTAAACTAAACATACAAAGTTGGATTAGTTATTAATTTATTTTTTAAATATTTTATTTTAATTTGTTAATATAAAATGTAAGCTTAGGGTCTGATATAATTGTGAGCTTTTAGTTTTAAATTTTTAAAAAATTAAAACAAAAATATATTTATTGATTTGATTATTAATTCAAATTCAAAATAGTTTTATTAAAATAAAACTATTTTGAAATTTTTATATTAAAGTGTTTAGAAATATACAAACATGATAAATTTTTGTTTTAAAATTTAAATAAATAAATAGTTCCTGAAAATATATCATTTTTTTAAAATAGTTTTTATTTTAAAAAAAAATTGGGTTAGATCTTGCAATTTTTTAAAATAATTTTTGTCGTTAACTAAAATTCGTCAAATGATAACTAAGCAAATGGTGTTTCATGTTATACATATTGTATGGATGCTAATTTCGGAGATATCAAAACTTAAATAAATAATTAGTCTCTAAAAAATATTTTTTTAAGTTTATTCCTATTAAATTTATATTTTGGTTTTAACTCCGTAAAATTCTTTTTTTTAAATAAATTCTACTGTTATCTCTTAAATCAATATTATTAATTTAGATAGCATCTTACATTTTATCTTTTTCTTATGGATACTTGAAGAGTTATTGTCATTTCTTATCTTTCACTTAGAAATACTTGACTAGTTAGTATTATCTAAAGTCAAAATATTATATTTTATAGAGAATTTTCAAAATGATTAGAAGAAGTTGTATTATGTGAAGTAGGAAGATTTACTTTGTTATGTTTCCTTGGACTCATATTTTTATTTTTCATCAATTAAGATAATGTAGAAGTTCTCCATTATGTGGAGGTACAAATACTCATTTTAATCATACCTAATTTCTCCTTGAACAATAGAAATGTAGACTCCTTTTTCATAACAATAAGAGTAGAAGAATTCAAAAACTTTGAAATGTTATAATTGATTGTAACTAGGAATGAAAATAGATCGGGCTTCACTCTAAATAGGCTCAGTCTGTAATATGGTTATTGGGCCTAAGTCTAGCCTGTTATCTGTTAAAGTCTTATTTTCAGCGTAACCTAACTTGAAGCCTATTGACAAAGTCTACTAAAAAAACTCTCTTAATATTAGTAAAAATATAAATATTTTATTATCAAATTTGTTTACATATTTTTTTTAATTTTTATTTGTGTTATTGATAATTATTAAATAATTGTAATAATTTTTATATAATTTTATAAATAACTTTTAAAATATTATTTGAGCATTAACTATAAATGTTTCACATTATAATAAAATTTTTATATTTTTATTTTTCTTCATTTATTTGGATAAAATTATTAAAGTATTAAAGATTTTTTTTTTGTGACGATCATATTTTGTTTGTTTAAAGACATCTTATATTCAATAAATAAAATCATAGAGAACACATAAGATTGATCACAAAAAATAACACTCACAAAATTTGTTGAATCAACTAAAATAAAATTATTATATTTTTAAAAAGTAAATAAATATCATCATTGTGAAAATTGTAGAAAAAATATTTTATATTATAAAGTTCATAGATGCAGAAAAATAACATATGAGTATAATAAAAATTAATGAATGTTTACAGATTTAACTTTTGACTCATATTAATTTAATAAAATTATTTTTAAATTAAAATAACTAGTATTTCTAAACTTTTATCTTCATAGAAAATATGTGATAAAAAATTTAGTATAAAAATGTAAACTTAATGCAATATATATATATATATATATATATATATATATATATATTGACAATAATAATAACTATTAAATTAAAAGAAAAATAAAATAATTACAAAAGATTTAATTTTTTTTGCTTCATTAATTTGTTATTTTAAATTAGCAAATATACATAAAATAAACTATACTGTAACGTTAATATAATATAGAAAAATATATCTGATATAATAAATTAAAATATATACTTATATATTATATATAAATTAATAAATTAGCTAATAATTTAATTTTTTTGTTTATACTTTTTTATCATTTTTTTATAAATTTTTTATTTCAAATAAAATATAATTCATATTTAACAAATTTCTATTTATTATAAATCAAAAAAATCATAACATAATATATTAATATAATAATTGAATATTAATAATAATGAAATTAAGAATATGAAAAATATATAAATATAATATTATTATTTTATTTTAAAATTTTAGTTCATTTAGTTTTGATTGTGTCATGTTCCTATTTAAAGACTTAAACATTTTTTAACTTGTTTAAATGTAATAAATATAATAATTTATTATTAAATAAATTTATTATTTAAACAAGTGTAATTATGTATAAATATTTTTAGTTTTAAATAGATAATAATTTTAATTTATTATAAATTAAAATAATCATAATATAATATACTAATATAATAATTAAATATTAATAATAGTAGAATTAAGAATATAAAAATATATTAATATAATATTATTATTTTATTTTTAAATTTTAATATTTAATTTTAATTGCATCGTGATCCTCTTCAAAGACTTAACTGCTCTTCAACTTTTTTAAATGTAACAAATATAATAATTTATTATTAAATAAATTTATTATTTAAACATGTGTCTAAATATTATTGATTAGAATTTTTTATGTATGGTAACGTGAAAATTTTTAAGGCTATTACAGAATTTATCTTATATCTATATTCAAAGTAATCATATCATATTTAAACCTAAATTGAATCTGTAATTATTAAAAGTCATTAAATAATATCAAAACATATGAAAATTAATTAAATTTACTAAAATAATTATTAAATAGTATTTTATAAAATGCTATTTTATTATTTAATTATTGTTTGTTTAATAAAAAAGCCAAGTCAGGCCAGGCCTAAAGCAGGTTAGGCCTTAAGCCCTTGTCAGGCCGTCTATCCTATTTCCATCCCTAACTGTAATACTCTAAAATTTGACTTTTCAAATACATTGTAATTTATGTAAAAATAGAGGACATAAAATAAATTTCAATTAAAATAGACAACATAAAATTGAGAATGAATTAAAACTTTTCCTCGAATAAATCCATTCACAAAATTAACCAATGAAGTAAAATGTAAAAGTAAACCGTGACTTAATAATTATATTATACTGACATCAGTTAGTTATATACAGATAGTATAATAATTTATAAATATTTGATCAAAAGTTATAGGACTTAGGATAAGTAATTGCAGAACAAAATAAACTAAGTTCTAAAGCAGTCACAATCCATATTCAACATATTGAAGGCCCAACATTAATTGTCATCATGTCATCCCTCTATCTCAGCTTGCTCCTCAGGGTCTAGATCATTGTTTTCTTTGAAATAGAGATCGCCAGAATTAGCCGCGACTTCAATGCCCATAACCTGCTCAAAAGTCACTCGAGTCAGTCTTTCAAGATGATCATGGTCAAAATAAGAGTACAAATAGCTCATAGTAGCTGGAGTCCTAATACTTCCTCTAAATAATATATATATATATATAAAGAGTATAATGGATCTTATCATTTATAGAAAAGTCTAGAGAAATATTATAATATTGGTCAATTTCCAAGGTATATATATGGCTAGGTACATTGTCACAATCTAAGGCAAACTTAAAGTAACAAAACCTCTTATACTTATTAAATACATAATTTATTCTATAGTTTATATGACTACCTATCAATCTAATTTGGCCTAGGGTGTTGTCACCCTTGTTTCCTGAAAAATTTAGTAAAAATGAACATCTATCTTACCATTTAAACATATCAGCATTACAAAGACTAACATCACAACATAATCATAGTCGTGAAATATAAGAAAACATAATAATATTAATTTCAAAAGTAATATATATCAACAATTATCACTTAATTACATAGTGTATCAATTACTCTTGCATAATCACATATGCATTTATTCCATAAGAAGTCATTACATTTCTCTCTTTCAAATATGCACTCTTAGTGCATTGTGATCATAGATATACAATGTCTCTAGCAATTCTGGAAGTCTTACATAATTAGGTAAATAGTCGCTACTTAGCACATGCACATGGATACAATATATATAATAACAGACCTTTTAGCAAAGGTATAGTCAGGAAACAAGTGTGAGGCCATGTGTTGTATTCACTCTCAAAAAAAGTGTGTACACATATGCGAATGTCGCTCACCATTATACGTTTTCCTCAAATTTTCGTATCATCTTCAGACTTTATACCCCAGTGTATCTCTGTAACTATTCACACTAGTTTCTTTCATCGCTTTGAACTAATCTCATACTATTTTTCATGTCAAACTCATTACTTAGATAAAAAAAAATTGTGCTTAGTTAAGCACTTCCGCACTAAGTCCAAAATATTTATACTATAGACATATAGTACAATCATCCCAAATCAACCATATATATATCATTAACTTTTCACAATACCTACATATCATTCAATCGTATATTTACATACAAGAAAACATACAAAAGTACTCTCATAAGTACAAAATATTCATTATGCTTAAAATGATAAAATATATCTCTCCTTACCTCAAAATGAAG